AGAGAGAGAGCGAGAGAGGGTGTACATGTGTGTGTTTATGTCAGAAACCGAAAGTAAATAAGGATTCTCCTCTTGCTGTGAACTCCTCTGATGGAGTTTTTTGGTCTGCGTTGGTGGAAATAAGGCTGTGACGTCCAAATCGGTTAAATCCTGACATCCCTTAATACCACTGTCTCATCTTTTCATAGCTGTCAAAAGAGCTCATTCTTTATCCCTTCTTTAAGATGATGTTACTCCAGCTCCCTCTGATTCACCTCTTAGTCTAAAAGCCATTACAGTACACACCTTTGTTTAGGATCCTTTTTAAGCAGGCCAGCCAGCAGGGCCTTGGCTTCAGGGGCTAGGTTCTTGGGGAAGCGGATTTCCTCCATAAGGATGAGCTCAAAGAGACGTTCGTGGTCCTGGTTGTAGAAGGGCAACCGACCACACATCATTTCATACATGACCACGCCCAGTCCCCACCAGTCCACCGCTCGTCCGTAGTCGTTGTCCTCAAGCACCTGACAAGGTAGAAATGTAAGGTTTAGAGAGAAATACAGAGACTGACATTCAGTTAACTTTAAAAGCAGTTGAGGATAAAGAACTACCAGTTACTGGTTGATACCATTGCACTTAAAATAACAATCAGTACACATTTAGCATCTCTCCATCAAACTGCAGACTTTATGAACCTCTGCTAAAATAAAGACTGAGACAGAAAACATAAACTTTAAACAGCAGTTTAAGATTCATAACATCACCAGCTTAGTAACTCTCCTATCATCAACATTGCATGATGTTACCTCTGGTGCCAGGTACTCTGGGGTTCCACAGAAGGTTTTCATGGTGGCTCCATCTGTGATCCCCTCTTTACACAACCCAAAGTCAGTTATCTTTATGTGGCCGTCCTTGTCTAACATGAGGTTCTCCAGCTGTACGGGGAAAGATTCAAATCAAAGAGTTAAATTAGTTGACAGCTGGAGCTGGAAAAGAATTAATAGGAGTAATTAGGTGGAAAGTGCTCATGGGTAAAGAACAACAACAAGTTAGTGTTTGAAAATGTTGATCATATGACAATCTAACATTACAGCATATTCAGAATAACTACAATGTATTACCACACTATGAGAGCAAGCAGATATCTTACTTTCAAATCCCTGTAAACAACATTGCGTGAGTGTAGGTACTCCAGTGCTGATACTATTTCTGCACCATAGAATCGTGCTCTGTCTTCTGTGAACACTCTGTCCCGCGATAAGTGAAAGAATAGCTGTAAAAGAATAAAAATAAACAGATGAAGAACGGAACAGTTACTCATTTTCCTAGATACTTAAGGAAACATTCTTCATTCTAATTGATTTCTTGTTCCTTGCTAATTATCTGTGTGTTCTTTTAAACCTTTCTTTGTGGATGTCATTTAGGAACTAGCTTTTTTAAATAAATGTTTGGGATTAACAACCAGCCCAGAACATGTTTATATTTATTTCTTCTGTCAAGGACATTTTGTTTTTTGTTGGTGTTTGTTACTTAGCAGGATTTCCCAAAAATTACAGAACCAGTTTCCATGAAATTTTGTGGAGGGGTGAAACACGAGCCAGGGAAGAAACCATAAAATTTTGTAGTAGATTCACATTAACAGGCAATTGCAGGATTTTCCCCCACCTTCTTTGACGTGGTAAGAAAATGACCTTGTAGTTTCTTTAAGTGACAATACACATTAACGTGTACTTAAGTCCAAAATGTAAATGTGCCAGATTTAGCCATACAGCCTGGTTTTCATATGCAGTTTCATGTAGCTTGATGGTAAAACAACAACAACATATAAACTCATGTATAGTAACCAAGCAATTCCTACAACATATTAACAAATCAGTTCAAAAACTGTTCATTATCATCAAATCTATCACACACACAGGTATAAAAATACAAAAAGTAAAACTTACTTCTCCTCCATTTGCATACTCCATCACAAAGCATAGCCGGTCATGTGTTTGAAATGCATATTTTAGTGTCTGTCGAGGAAGAAACCAAAATATTTTTGTATTACACTGAATAAAAAGTCACTTCATTTTAACAGACACTAGTAACTTACTGTTAGAAAGGGATGCCGTGTGTTTTGGAGTACTCTGCTTTCAGTAACTGTGTGTGCCACTTCATCCTAGAGGAATAACAACCACACAAAGACTTAATTAGAGCATAAGCACAAGATCATGTACCAACAGCTAGCTAGAGCAGTGTAAAGAGAGTATTTGACAGTGATTGTGATCAGCACTAACTTTAGCAATGATGACTTCTTTACGGAGGATTTTCATGGCGTAGTACATCCCTGTGGCCTTTTCCTTCACCAGAATCACTTTACCAAACGTCCCTTTGCCCAGCAGCTTCAGGTAGTCGAAATCACTCATGGTCTGTAAGAGCAAAGTGAAAGATAAGAAATGAAAAAGAACGGCTGATGCACTCACACTAGAGTAAGCATATACCCAGTTTTCATTTAAAACACTACTCCTGTGTCTCAATTCAGAGGCCGCATCCCAATTTGAAGGCCGCTCTAAATGGTTCCATCAATCCCCCAAGCAATGAAGGCTGTAAGAGGTAGATCCGTCCTGACCCAACCGATTTTTTTTTCCCATTCATTGTGTGCCAGAGATTAATGTTATAAAAAGGGGTTAATGGCAGCCAACGAGAAAATATCAGAAGAATACACTTTTCAATGAACGTATGTTAAAAAAACCAGGAGGCATTAAAGCTTTCTCGTAGTGTCCAACGGCCGCTCAGTTACTAGGCGACAGTAGTTAGAGTACGAAAAGCTGGTGATGCATATTGTGGAAATCCTTCACAGACCAGACTGTCTCATTTTGGTTTGTCGCTTGTGGTCTATGCTGCCTACGAAGACCACATTCTTCAAAGAAAGCAGCCGCTGAATTGAGACACAGCTCATGAGGGTTACATCTGTGAGTTTCAATGGAACTGTGTGTTATGTTAAATAAAAAGTTACATAACAGCCTCTCTGAAATGTACAGGAAGAGACTTTTGATGAGTCAGTGGATCCCCATAGTACTGTCTGCACTGCTAAACTGTGCGCGCTACATGATGTATCCTAATATGTGAGATATGAAATGAGTCTCTGATGTAAGCACTTCTACAAAAAATTTGTGTGTGAATGGTTGAATGTACTTTAAAATGCTTTAAATGGTCTTCAAGATTAGAAAAGCGCTTAACACAGACCAATTATATAAATAGAGACCATATGACATTTGTACAAACATTTCACACCACATAAATCCAGAGCATTTCAAAAATCACTTGTTTTTTTTGTTGTTAATCAGCACTGGACAAATTACATCCACAAATGTTCCCCTCCAATCATTTTAAGGTTGCTTCACAAAAAAAAGCCTTGAGAAAGAGGCTTAAAGTTTCAACAACTTGCTCAATAAAGATGAGCTTAGCTTGACAAACACAGCAAACACTCAGCTGCCAGGCACTGCTTGTGCAAATACTGACCACTTTTGTGTTGGACTTGGACATAGCAATCTCCATCTCCTCTGTGCCGCTGCTGTCAGTTGGAGAGCCAAATTTGATCTCCATGGGCTCCTCATCCTGCTGCTGACTCTTCAGGCTATTTGCCACCGCCTGGATCGATCGCATCCACTCCTCCCTGGACCAGAAGGAAACACACACCACCCTTATCAATTTTAGCCTATTCCATTTCCACATCACTCTGAATTGTCTCTCCACAAATATGAAAGATAAGAATGTAAAACATTGCCAAAACGAATAAAAATGTTCATGTGTTCAGAGAGATGATACAGAATCACCAAAATATCTATCTTAAAGGAGAAAGCTCAGTTTTGAAGATGGAGGATAATGTGCACTATTCAGCGAGGGGGATGCTGGGATTTGGTACTGAGCCGAGCCAACATAAACAAAACTCAATGACGATTGCTTAGGTTAGGGGTGAATCATCAGGTCTAATCTGGCAGCAAATTTTATTTTGAGCATGTTGGTCTTTCCTACTGCTCTCACAAACTCAAATAAATTCCACTGCCTGTAGTGAACAATGGACCATTTAGGCCTTATGTGTTTTGTGAAAAAGTTCCTTGTCCCTTTGGCTCCATCCACACAACTATGTTTGAGTTTTGAAACACATTACTGCTGCTATGTTTATCCACACTACAGAGTTTTCAAGGACCTAAAACTTAGAAGTTTGAAAACACTGTTGATCCTATTTTAGTTTGAAAAACGACAGACTGCATTATAGTCTGGACGAGCAAAAACAGAGATGTTTGGAAACTATGATGCAGTCACCCACATTCATTTTCTGATTGGTTATCATCAGTATTGCCTTGACTACCAACGGTGAATGCAAAATGTTGTGACAACTTACTGTCAGTGACAGTGCCACCACTGTTTGTTTCTCCTTTGGAACATTTTCTGTAACTAAGCAACCAACCCAGTTGCAGAGTAAACTGTTTACACAAGTATGCAAATTAAATGGGTGTGTTACTATGGATGGGGAATATTACTGATACTGAGCTATAACACTTGGAAGAAGATTGTTTTAGATTCAAAGTGATGTTTTAAAATGAAAACATTAGTATGGATGTAACTCTCTACGAGTTTTCGCACGGGATGTTTTTATGTATGGCAGTAACAGGGGCGCACATACATGAAGGTCACCGTCACGCACAACAGATTCGGAGTGACAAGTACACAGACTTAAAAGTGAAAGATAAGTTCTGGCGAGATAGAAATAACTGCATTGATGTCGCACCTGCGGTTGAAACTATGAGGTCTGACTGTCTGGTGCGAGCACGCTGTAGCTTAAGGTAGAGCAACTGCAAGAGTAAAGTTGCTGCACACACCAAGTTAGAGATCTCATATTTCACTACGAGAGGTGTTAAAAGTGTTTTGGTTCATTATGAAACTGTGGTGGGACTAATAAGAATATGGCACACCGCTACAGATAGAGAAACACTTTCCTGTAAAGCAAGACCTTCTCAATGGACCTTGTCTTAATAAATGACAGTAAAATTTATTTTACGCCACAGCAGAAATATTTTTAAAGGATTATTTATTATTGGTTTGTGCCGTGTTTGAACATGAGGCACATTATTTAACTGCACAGCAGTAAAAACAAATCAAACACTGACTTGTATTAGCTGTGAACAAATCATACTTAAATCACTTCAAAACTTGCTCAGGTTTCTGACAAAAAAACCAAAACAACCAAATAGTGAGTTGAGTTGGCTTTACTGGAACACCATGCAGTAAGTATGAGGATCACGATGCAACTGAAAAGAGCTTTTAGTTCTATAACGTGGAAAGAATTTGTTTTAGCATTTGAAATTAAGTTTTAGTTTGACTGGTCAAGGGCACTCTCACATTTTAACTAAAGCATCTCCTACCACATGGCCAGAAAATATGACTAAATACAAAACAAATCCTTGGAATGAATGTCTCTTACCTCTCATCGTTGCTATCCACATGGAAGGTCCGTTCGATAACCGAAGTCCACTGCAGGCAACGAATAACAAACGTGTTGGGCCTCGGACGCTCTGTCTTCATCAGCTGGCATTCTACAAAACAAAGACGTGTCAGCTTATACTGAAGAGCTGAAAGCACCCACAACTAAACTTAACCTGGCAATTTCATTGAAATGTGACAGCCAGATCTGGAAAACTTACCTGCGACAGAGAAATTGTTGAGCGGTGGGAGGCTGTGGTCACTGGACACCTCAGGCTTCTCTTTGTAGCCAATGAAGGAGCCATCACTCTTTAATATGAAGTAGCGAGGACGCCAAGTTTTAATGTATTCACCTGGAAAACACAGCCGGGCGGAGATATTTGAGCTGACAGTTTTAATGTTTGAGCACTTGCTTAAATTACTGAAACAAACTAAGCACTGTGGTTTTCAATCAGTGAAGAAGTTACACACTTAACAAGACACATTACAAGCCTCCAGGGGGGAGCATTTAGTAATCAAAAGATAGAGTTTGAAATGGACAGTCATGTCAATGGAGTCCCAATATGATAGACAGCAAAAACAGAACCCCTTACCTCTCTTGTGGAGCCATCCCTCTCTCACAACACTGACTTCATTCATGCTGGGGCAGAAGACTGTCTGGGTTGGGAGGGGGCTGCAGACAAGCTGGGGGAAATGTGCAAACTGTTCCTATTGGTCGAGGGCCTTAAAGTGGCTCAGATACAAAAACACCTAAATAATACCTGGAGGAAGGGAACAGAAAGAGATATCATTAATAGAAGGACAGAAAATACAGAAACAGAGCTCACTGATGCCTCAAGTAGCTTTAACATGTAGTTACAAAATTCATTCATGTGGCAAGAGCTATAAACCACCCACATCGGAAAAAACGTCACAAGAATTACAACATGTCCAGTTAATACTTTAACACATGAGTGCACTTTCACTCTTTGTGTTAAAAATTAAGAACCTCTGCTAACTTGTTAAGGTGTGAACCAAAAAAGCAGCGTGACTTCTGACTGTTTATAATTCAATTTCCCAAATAGCTTTTGGCACTTTCTTTTTACACCCATTGTCTTTTTTTTAGTGGTAGAGGAACATTGAAACATAAATTTGAACAGACGACGGGCCTAAAGGAAGTAGCAATACAGCAAGAGAGGTGAATACAAAGATTGAAACTGATAACTGTGTCACCACAGCAGTGTGAATAAATTCCACTTGTGAGCAACTGTGCTGACTTGAAACACAACTCCACAACAAAGAAAACTGCTGAAATGTGCATGTCAGCTCAGCCCTCATACATGAGCATCCACACTTGGACGAGTACGACGACTATCATGACCCAACTGGATATTAAAAGGCAAAATATGATACTCTACCTGACATCTCACTGTCGTATAGTATCTAAACACAGTAGATTTATAGTGATGGTGTTATACTGATGCCAGATAAACATCAGAGAATTGTGGCATTGGTGCTACTAAACAGGAAAATGGCATTAAAAGCTCTCTTTTGTCAAATGCAATAACCTCCCATGGATGTCGCTGAGGGGAGGCCTTGGTGATCAGGGTCAGCCCTGAATGAACAGCTTACGTTAGATAATAGGTTTACCAGAATTTCACAGCCCTTGGGTGAAAGTGATGGGGTTGAATGTAACAGCGCATGCAATACAGTTAGCACGACACAAAGACTTTTTTGAATGGCTTCATTTATAAAGATAAAATCAGATTATTAATCTTCTTATTGTTATTATTACTTCCATTATTATATCTGTATTTATTCAAGATTCAAAGATCTTTATTGTCATCACACTCAGGTACACTGACATTGTATGAGGCTTTAAATGTATAAAAATATAGCAATAGTTATCAGCATCAATAACCACATGCAAAACACAGAATATAGGACAGTTACTTTCAAAGTGCTTAACAAATTAAAAATCTATTATAAATACAATTAAATAAATGGAAAAAAAAATAAGTGCGTAAATAACAATTTTAGAGTTTGTCTGTACAAACAGGACATGGGTACTGTAGTAAGTAACCAGGTATGTAGTTTACATTTAGCACGATTTGAAGAAACGACAAAGAGGCAATAAATACAACCGTATCGAGATTAAACCTGTAATATACTTCTGTGTGACTAATGATTTAAATGACACGCTGTATTCATCAGCCATTCTAAAGTAAACACGACCCGTAACGTGAACACATCCTCATCCTCCTCTCGGCGTAGCGGCTAGCTAGCTAACTGAGGCAAAGTCAACAGACGTTACCTTCAAAGTTCAGCACGGGTCGTTAGCTTCTCTCTCGGAGCTCAACTATAAACAAGTTGCTTCGACACTTAAGCCGAAGCTTACCGACAATCTGGGGCCGAGCGTCGCGCCAGACAGACCAACAGCAGCGCGGACACTGACCATGACCGCATTACGGCCAAACAAGGCAGCTAGCCAACGCAGCAGCCTTCGAGCTAACGGCTAGTTAGCATGTCAGTTAGCCACTTGCGCTACTTCTCGCTAACCCTCCTCCTCCTCCTCATCTCCCCGGCTTCTACTTACCGAAGACTTGAGGGAGACAAAATTAAAGCCAGCCACTCGGTCGGTCGGTCCCCGGAGGAAGAGGCGCAGAGGTCCGCGGCACAAAGCTCCCACCGGTTATCACGCAAAGCCCGTGTGTATTGAACTCTGTCAATGATCACACAGCTTCAGCGGACAGCGCTTGTTTTCTCCCCTCGCAGCGGCGGCGTGTTCAGTCTGTTGCTGCTGCAGTGGCTCACCGAAGCGTACGTAACCCGCACCGAGAATACAGTCCACCGCGCTCCCGTCTATGTCTCACTGCAAAAAAATAATGTTGGAAATCCCGGTCGGACGGAGCACAGAGACGCTTCTTCTCCCTGGGTTCAGTGTGGACGGTTGCCTGCTCTTAGCGTGGAAGCCCTCCTCCTCGTCCCGGCCAGACAGCGCACAAGCCCCGCAGACTCACGCTGAGACGGGAAGTGACGTACGAGGCCAGAGGGTCCACCACGCACTGCACCTGAGCGGTCGATGTGAAAGTACACCGAGTCCTGCACTAACTAACCTTAACCCCAGTCCAGCTGCTCACCGCTGGATTACAGATTGTCCGAGGGATTACAAATTCACGTGAAGCGTGTCTTCGTTTTAAAGCAGCGCCCCCGCCTCCTCAGTGAACCAGTAACTCTGCTCTGAGGAAAGCACCTGTTTTCTTTAGCGGCAACACCGACACCCAAACTACAAGGGCCCGGCAATCCCCTTATGAAATCACATTTTATTCACTAAATCCAGATGTTTCGCACCAAATTGCACTCATTTAAAAACAGAAATTCCTCTAAACATTGCAGATTGAAGATCCACTCGCTGAGAAATCAATGGAAATGTTGAAAAACGTCCTATCTAGAAAGTGCTAAAAAACATTCCTGTATCTGTACCGAAATCTGATGACTTGATCCTTAGGTTTTACCTGACCCCTCCACAAAGTTTCAGTGACATCCGTGGAACAGTTTCTGCGTAAGCCTGCTAACTAACTAACAAACAAACAGACAAAAACATAACCATCCTCTGTACAGGTAAAGATAAATAGCATGTTCTAAGTAACAGCAACAACAATAATACTATATTCGAACCAATGCTGATTTTCCATTTAAATGATTAGTTCATCTTGGGAAATATACCCAGTTAATAACAAATTTCCACCTGTCCCCAGTATTTCTGCATATGATAGTGGTATCAATAATAAATATCTCCTTGGCAGCGTGAAGTGATGCTTCATTACACACTACATTATGAGTGAAGCAGGGGATTAAACCATAAAAGAGGCAATGTCATAAATGTAAAAAAAGTTTATTATTCATTTGTTATTGCAAAAATATTAATTTGCATGAATCATGTACTCAAGAGCAAGTGTTTTCTGTCAGAGAGTTTTATTTTGTTGTCTCTGTTGTTTTCGCTGCAGGTAGCGAGCACGGGCATCACTGACAGAGGCATCGTTGTTTCGCTTCTCGTGCTTCTTCGTGGCATCCTCAGTAGAATTCTCTGAAAGAAGCACAGAGGTAATTTATTATCATCATTAAAGTCTTGGTACAGATTATTAATTCATTCATCCAGTTTAACACTTTTTGGGCCTTTTAATCCACCCTGTGCTTTAGGTGGGTAATCACTGGCGCCACTTTGGATTAACCATAAAACTGTAACACAATTTCACAAATTAATATCTAGTATTATCTAATATTTAGAAAACCTGGTGGTCTTTTGGCTGCTTCCCTGGTCTCCCATTTTATCATCTCTTCGTCAGTCACTTCTTCTCTTGCCACACTGCTCAGCTCATAGACGTCCACCTCATGGAGTTTAGGTAACAAGTCCTTCACCCACTCGTATCGAACTGGACACACTGTCCTGATGTACACCCGTGAAGTCACCAGCATCTCGTGGAAGATGACCCAGGTTAGCTCTGCCTCCTGGTCACACAGCTGGGAGGAATCATGAGGGCAGGAGAAATCAGAGACAAAGATTTTTAGGTTTTGGTTCCATACACGATGTATCTTCAAACTGTGATTGATTAATAACATTATTTAAATGACATTTACCGATGATGATGGATGAATGTGAACCATGGATCCATGTCCATCCATAGTGCAAAACACCTTTCCCACAGACCTATAGTAAGATAGAAAAAAATTAAATGAACAATACTTTCAACCAGAAAAGAATCCCAAAACACCAGAGGAGTTGAACATGGGTCAATGAAAGGAGCCCTGGTGATACCTTCTGGCAACGTTGGTGAAATATCCTGTGCACAGGCATCGTCTGAAGAGTTCACTCCTGTTGCCATCAAATGTTTCTACAGGAAAATCTCTCTTCTGGGAGACAATAAAAATAATAATGATAATTATATTAAATAGCTCTGCAGTGTGTGGGTAAACAAATGCCACATTAATAAAGTACAGTTTATTTGAGTTGAACATCTAACAACACAGATCTGCTCAGATGTTGTATGCAAGTGATGTGTGGAGCAACTATCTATCAGCTGTGATGGTTTAACGCGAACTGTGCGTTGCTGCTGTAATGTTTACATCAACAGAGAGCGGATACACGTCATGCTGCAGTCAGTGATGTGAAAACGACCTGGCACACTGCTGTACCTTCTGGAGGCGGAGGAGGATCTCACGCAGCTGAGTCTCCACACTGAAGGCTGACTTCAGCGCCCTCCAGTGGATCCAGTTCTCTTTACACCATGCAGATGGCCTGTCACTGCAGAATACAAGAGAAAGGCCCGCACTTATGACAGCTGTGATAATGAATCAATCATTTCTTGATACGAGCAAGAACAAATAATACAGGTTTATCTTGCAGCAGTAATGTATTCAGTACTGTACCTGGATTTGCATGACTGAAACACACTCAGAAGTGTGGCAAAGTCGTTCATGCTGCCGCTTTTGTTAGCCAGCGCTTTGTGCTTCTTATCTGCCTCTTTCTGCTTCTCAGGGTGTCCTGCAGAGAACATGAGATCAGTCAAAGCTAAGCTAAACCTCTTTTACACCAAAGAGACCAGATACAGATAGACCCTGTTTTTTAAACATGGGTTAACTCGCTAAACTAGAAATAATGCAGTGCGGTTGTGTACCCTCACCAACTAGTGCTGTTTCAGACTACATATTTTTCTTTCCAGATACATATAAGGTCACCTTTGGGATGGCCATACAGAAGGACAACCTGAAAATATGATGCCTCCAGCCACTGGCTATTGCCATCATAAAAAGGAAAATTACTCTTTTCCAAAAGCTTGTAAAGGAGTGTCCAAGGCCAGCATTATTAGCATTGTGGGCATTGGATAGAGTTGTGGTCAGGGTGTGAATGACCCGAGCCAGGGGAGGCCGTACCCCCACATTGATCATGTAGTAACGTAGCATGGTGGTTCCAGCAATAAAACCAGTTCAATAGAAGTTTATGTTTCTGCATCTCATGTTTTATATCTGAGGAAATCACAAGGAGTTTCCCTTTTTGTTTTTTTCTTCCCAGTGAGTCATGTTCAACGTCACGCACCGGAAACCGAGAAGCTCTCGGTGTCATGTCTGTGTTACATCTTGCATGATATGAATAGAAAATGCTATGACACACTCGCAATATGTAAAAAACAAGAACATAATAATAAGGGGCTTCATCTCCACACATCATTTCCTGTCACAGGGACTGATGGACGAGTTGCAGTACCTTTGCTATTAGACATTTATATTATAGATAAGACCAGTGTGTTTTTGCCCTTGTAGTCTTTACTTAGAAGCAAGTTCCCTAATAAACCCAAGATCTACACTGCTGACCTGGCCTGATGAGGATGTTCTCCACAGACAGCATGGCAGCCACAGGGAGTAGAAGATCCTGGCAGCCAAGCGAGGCAGCTTTGAGCAGGGCCCTGGTGAGGCCTGGTTGCAGCGGGAACTCCACCATCAGCTCCCCCAGCTGGGTCACTCTACCCCTCCTGCAGTCCACGCATCAGACACACAGAGCTCAGGAAATCTCACCAAGAAGAACTATTCAAACAAATACTTGGTTCACAGGTAAAACCACTCACCTGTCAATAGCATCAAATTGATAGAGCTGTTTTAGTGCTTCTAGAATAAACCTCTCTTCTGGACAGTCTAGATAAGGAAACCTTGAAACAAAAAAATCCACTTATTATTTTAGACTGTAGCGTGTTTAGAAATAAATTATTAGGAAATTAGAGAAGCAAACAGACACAGAATGGGGATCAGTGTACCTAATGACATCATGAACACCCAGGCACTTGAGTGTGAGTACGACTGCTGTCAGACTTGTCCTCTGGATTTCTGGAACCGTATATTCAGGCATGATCTTTTCCCAAAATTCCTTGGAATAGATTCGGAAGCATTTCCCAGCTGAGGTTCTTCCAGCTCGGCCTGCTCTCTGCTGAGCCTCGCTCCTAATCACAGACGAAATCCGGCCCAAATCTCAGTTGGCAAGTTTTCTTAATGCCATTACTGTTAGCAGGAAAATGTTGTAAGGAGACATATTATGCTTTTTCAGCTTTTCTTCCCTCTAGTGTTTTATATATGAGTTTTGTTCATGTAAAAGATGTGCAAAGTTAAAAAGCCCAAAGTCTGCAGGAAAGAGAGCTCCTCTTCACCACAGAAAACATGAAGCTACTGAAACCCCTTTGACAGAGCTGAAACCAGGTGTTTCAGACAGAGGCTGAAAAGAGGAGCTGCAGCAATGGACAGTATGAGGAAAGTGATTTAAACCTTTTAAGCAATAACCCAAATTAAAAATATGAACCCGAATATGAGCAGAATGTGTCTCCTTTGCAGGTCTGAAATAATATTTTACATATGCCAGCACTCACTTTGAAATAGGCACCACCTCCAAGATATCCATGCCCACCCGTGAGTTGTGGTTGAGTTGCTTCACGAACCCGCTGTCTATGATGTACCTATAGAAGAAGGTGACTGTGGCTTTTACAGTGGCTCAACGGAAACATTTCAGTAACGCTGATTTAATGTCACAATTTGATGGTTACATATAATAAAGCATTGACCACAGGACTCACTCACTTTATACCATTGATAGTGAGAGATGTTGCTGCAATGTTAGTGGCCACTACACACTTTCTTATTCCCGGAGGCGGAGGCTGAAAGATCTGCCTCTGTTGATCTATGACAAGAACACAGAAACAAAAATGCAGACACTGACTTCAATTTGTAAAATCATTCTCAGAATAAGGTGTAACAAGTGTAGCTGTTGTGTGTTTACCAGTTGGCATGGATCCATAAAGCGGCAAAATGAGAAGACCCTCCACCGTCTGGTCCTGAACATCATAGCGATAGTCTATAGACTCTGCTTTTTCAAATAGCAAGTCACAGGCGCGTTCAATCTCTGACTGACCTGTCAAACACAAAGCGAAATCATGTGGCTGACTTTGTCAGCATTAAGGGTTCAGTCCGTATTAATCAAAAATAAATATGACCTCACGTTGTGTCAATCGCGTTTACAAACAAACTTTCAACTGTCATTCAATTTTCGGATCATGTTTCGATTTGCTGTGTTTTTTTGCATCTGTCACAGGCGTTTCAGAGAGTAGTCTGAGCACTCAGAGCTACCATACGTGTCCAGAATAGTTTCACAGCTCCTCGATCAGAGGACGAAATTCTCTTTGTTCCTTGCGGCTTCTTAGGTTTGGATGGATCCAATGTTTGCTTTTTCTAGAGGTAAAAAATGATCTGTGTGCAAAGTTTCTGTGCGTAATGATTTTTTATTTGATGACTGTATGGAAAAATACAGACTCAGTTTGCAAAAACCTTTAAGGGTTAATGTGATCTCAGGGCCTGATAATGGGAACTCACCTGTTAAGAAGACAAGAATGTCCCCACACATTTCACTGGTGTGCACATCCAGAGCCACTTTCACCACCTGGGGAGCAAAAGGCAGGCAAATGAATCAACATTCAACAATCAATGTGAAAGTTAAATTAATAGCCTTTCCCTGTAAGAATCTTAAAATAAAAAAAACTTAAAACTAGGGATGAAACATCACCGGTGTCATGGTATACCATGGTAAAATCCACAACATTTAGTTGCACTGCTTCAATCTTCAATTATCGTGTTTATTGTGGGGATTAGGTTGCTGCTGTCCAGCATCAGCCAAAGTTAGCAAGTCTTCAAGACAAGCAGCAAGCGAGTACTTCTCTAGGACATTTTATAATCACCACAATTATACTGATAATCGTGATAATTGTGGTCACAATAATGTTCACACTATTTCATCACTACTCAAACATAAACGCAGTACCTCTTTTACGTAACCAGTGCTTTCTATGTCTTTTGGTCCCACGGCAGAACCGAATGTGCAGACCACAGGGAACGTCCTCCCTGGAATAGCAAAGACGGGACAATCGCCGAGAAATGCTGAAAGCTTGTCCGTTTCCAATGTAGCGGACATCACCACCACCTTCAGCGGAAAAGATCGACCCTTTGTGGCTTCAACAGGGTCGGAGAAGACTTTCTTCAATAAGCCCAGGAGGATATCCTGCAGCAAATACAAACACATGATCAGTGCATGAATCACATGTGTTGATGTACATTCAGTGAAAATGTTGACTCACCGTGTTGAGGCTGCGTTCATGGACCTCATCCAAGATCACAACACTGTACTGAGACAGCCCAGGGTCTGCAAGAATCTCTCTGAGCAAACATCCGTCCGTCATGTACTTCACCACTGTGTCCTGGCTCAAACACAGACCCACCTCCAAGTTATCACACATTCACGATAAAGATGCTGGTTTTTCTGCAGGGTCGTCCAATCTTGGCCTCTCACCTGTGATGTGCAATCATCAAAGCGCACTTGGTAGCCGACTTCTCTTCCCAGGGTGCATTGCATCTCATGGGCTACCCTCTGGGCCACTGTGATGGCAGCCACCCGGCGGGGCTGGGTGATGCCGATTTTGCCATCCTTACAAAAACCTATACGGAAGAGAAGAGAGAACATGAAATGGTTGATTCCTTTATAGGTCATATTGTGTTTGGATGTTGTCTTTTAACGTAAAAACTAATACTATGGATGGGGCCACAGAACTGGGTTTAATGAAACTGGGCGTTCTGATTTGATCCAAACCTACGGAGGTACTCTGGCTTCCCCTCTTTGTCGGTCCTGGGATACAGTGGTAACCTGTAAAGGGTGTACCCCTCCAGCTCCCCCCGGGACCCCCAAAGGAAGTGGCATAGATAATGGATGGATGGACAAACCTATGGAAGTTACCTCTCTGATCCAAATTAAGGGACACATGGGCTCATGAAGTTAAAACTTCTTGGGAGGACTCTGATTTTGACTGGTCATATGTCCTTTGATACAGGTCACAGAGAAATGATTCTCATGTCGTTTCAAAGCCCTTTTCCAGCTCCATGTTGATCTGAACAGCATGTAATCTCAATTTACAAAAATAATCCTCATGGACCACCTCCAATGTACAGTATCCCAGATACACTTGTGATGCACCACCAGGACGTCCCAGAAGTCAGCAAGACGTCAATGGCCTAAGTCTCCTTCACTGTGATCCAACACACATCATACCTGGTTCCACGTGTTTGTCATGAGACCAAATCCACATGAAGTTCAGATGTGTGACGATGTTGACACGGACTGACCATAAATGACATCTCACCAGCTTGATGCAGGAACTGTGGAAGCTGTGTGGTTTTCCCGCTGCCGGTCTCCCCGGTTACAACCAGAAAAGAGCTGGTTTTAACAGCCTCGATCAGTTCGGTTTTGTGTCGATGGATCGGCAGGTTAGTTGACTCGGTGTCTTTCCGGTCCCGTCTCGTCGATGTGGACATACCTGAAAGCTTTTACCGTGTGAGGAGATAAACAGAGAGCCCCACAGACGCTGTTACACTAAACACAACACCGTTTTCTTTCTCATCTGTGATTTCAGGCACTAGTTCAGCTACTTCCGCAAACTAACCCGTTCTGCGTTTCTATTGGTCTAGAAATGAGCACATGACCCAAACACCTCTACCAAAATAAATGTCTGACCAATTTTAAATGAAGTAAACAAGTTAAAACAAATCATACGAATTGAGCATGAATAGTTATTAATCAATTCGTTAATGCAAATTAAATAAGATTCTTTTTATCTTTATTATTATTGACTTGATTGTCAGGAGTCAATTGGCTTGAAGCAGGGCTTTTGTTTGTAAATGAAAAATGAATAAAACACATACACATGTTAAAACCATAGAGACTAAATATAAAGATGGATCGAATCAAACATTTTGGCCTCATTTTTGGATGGTGGGAGGAGGTGGGGATGCGTCATCCATCTTTATGTACAGTTTTCGGTAAAAACTCATGGTCTCATGCCAATACAGTGTGCACATACACACCATGCATGTGCATATGCAAGAGTATGACTCAGTGTAGAAGAGAATATCTTTCATGCAAGAGTTTGTTCATTTCAGACTATAAGCTCACAAACAATAGTCCCAAACTTATGCAAACGTTCAAGCACCTACTTGAAAATGTATCTGTTTCATTGCGATCCTCTATGTCCAAACTTTAGTGAACTGTACTAAAATTTGAAAGGCTTCACACTGTGAAAACCGAATGTTCGGCACTAAAAGAAATAAGACCTTGTGTAAGGACTCAAATATTTGGTGCCATTCCTGTAAAAACAGGGGACAGCATTGACTACAGCTTCCTCTGATCAATCGGAGCTCAAGTAGTAAAACTGCTCAGCCAGTCAGGGTTTTGGGACAAGACCTTCTGACAATCAACAGATGAGTTGAGTTGATAAAGAAAAAGTTACACAAAGGGACCCTATCAACGACCAATATAGTAAAGTATTGATTTATTTTTATAACAAATCAAGGACATGTCTGTTTTACATCTTGGGGCCTCCAAATATGACTTCAGATTTTTTTCTTCTGGATATTTAAAGTCAATAAAGAAGAGGTCCACCGGAGACCAGACTGTGAAGAATCCTCTGTCCTCGCTCTGGTGTGATTCTTCTTAGTTTACGCGTTTCTGAAGAAATAGAAAAAGTATTACTCACGCAAGTAAGTGTGTAAATAAACCAGAGTCATTGAGCAAATGTGACATCTTGACTTACCATTGCTGCAGGACTGTAAGCAGCCTGGTCTTTTACAGATCTCTATATAGCAGTGGAAATATACCTGAAAGAGAAAAGCTGCACAATAAATGAAAAGCATCAAGACTTAAAAAGACCAAAGGCAGCACCATACATACCTGGTTTTCAGATGTTGGGGGCTTCACAAATGAGAACATTCTGACCACAAACCATTTGTGAAGTGAGGGATACGTCAGTGTCTTACTGGGGACGACTGGCAACACAACGGTTCTGTGACTATCACCATTGAAAGGACACCTGGGCCAGATGCAAACACAGTATACTCTCCTTTTTAAGTACAGACCATTTCTACATTTTTTGATCATTTCCAAAAAGGTCACATTTGCCAAATAGTTTGTACGCCTGTTAACCCGTTGACAAGCAGGTTCCAGCGTTGCGGGTCATGCAGGTTTTCCGTTGGTGTGGCCCAGCAGTCGTCCAGCAGCAGCACCAGGTCCTTGTCCTTATGTTTCAGAAGAGAAACCTCCACGTACACAGGCCGGCCGAGCTCAATCACTGCCGGAGGGTCTCGAGGGGAGTAGAAAGAGCTGTAAGAAGGATCTAGAAATACATTGAATTATGAAAGAATGCACTTTCTGGACAATGAAATAATAAGTACAAATGATGGAAAGTAAAAGAAAACCTGACCTTTGGCAAATCTCATTTCAGTCCTGAGTATCCCTGTGTTTCTCAAAGTTGATGAGTACTCAGATTGTACTCCTTGAACTTTGATCCTTGCTTGTGTCATTTTGACCAGCGCAAAGCTACAACTCACAGTGAGACTGAAAAAAAACAAAACAAGAAATCTACGTCGGAGTGTGTGTGCTTTAAAAAGACAGAGGAATTAATCAACTTTATTCATATAGCATCTTTAAAAACACACTAACAAGGTGCTCTACGAGTTAAAAATGGAAACAACAGGAAACAGTTAAAATTCTATGAAGAAGATTCTAAATTCTTCACATTTCTGTGAGGAGTTTGCTGGAGCCTCTGTAGCAGAGATAATGAAATTAAGTAAAGTCCTGAGTTGTGCCTTTTCTTATCAATGAGATCTGAAAAATGTTCTGCTCTTGCTTCTTTAACTCCTCTATTAAAATTCTTCTTAAGGTGCACAGTCAGATTCTACATCTTTAAGGCTTGATTTGGTTCAAGATGCAGAGGAAGAATTTGACTTAGAATTGTGTTTTACCACAGATGTGAACATCATGCATTTGTGGTCAGAGACATAAACATCCTTGCAACAGATATTGTCAAGTGAAATCCTATATGAGAGCACGATATTAAGGGTGTGGCCCTTGTTGCGGATAGGTTATGTGAGTGTCCTGGTTAAATTAAAAGCACCAACAATATTCAAAAGCTCTCGATCTGCAATGTGTATGTATGATGGTATTCTTACTTGAAAGGAGTGTCACGAAATATAGGGCCTCTCTGTGGACGCTGTTTCGCCTCCATGTTGACCCAGTAAGTTATAACTCCTTCTTCCACCTGCGAGACACAAAACAAACCTGTTCTATTTAGTAATTGATGAATGTTCTGTATTTATATGGCACTTCTCTAGTCTTGATTACACTCTTTTTGCCATTCACACAGAAATTCAGTGCATCTCTGCAGCACTTTCTCTATCACACATCACTCGCACACCGTCGGCACTGTGGGGTTCAGTATCTTGCCCAAGGGAACTCCTGCATAAACCACCAACTATCTGGTCAGTGGACCACCCGCTCTACCTCCTTAGTCCCCAGTCAAAGAAAGAGCCATCCAGCCGGTCAGAGACAGGGGAAAGGATGAAACCAATTTACATTTACCGTCGACTGAGCGCCGCAATCAGTGAATGGAAAGTGGAAAGTCACAGCATCTCTGGATCTTTTTCTGGGTTCACAGATGTGGCTTTGACCGGAGGGGATCCAGAGTGCATTTAGGTTCAGAGGTGGGACTGTGGCATTCTGGGTGATGGTGAAGTTAAACCCATCCTTGCTGCAGAACAGCTGTCCCTGCACTGGTGGATCACGCTCTTTGTTTGCCTCTGCAGAAAACATACAGATAAAATAAACACAACCAATAAAAATAATCAATCATAATGTTACAATATTGATCTGTTGGAATTACCTTTAATTCCCCATTCGCACCTGAGAGGTATTGACTCAACAATCCCAAATCTTCCTCTATCTTCAAGTGCCATGATAACAACCGTCAGACTAGTGATGTATTTCTAATAAACAAAATTGAAAATGAACACATATCAGCATTTAAAATAAACACAGAAGTCTATTTTACTCACTTACTTGTCTTTTCACAAAACAGCCATGGGAACCAACTGTAAAGATCATGAAGGTGTCACTTTCACCCAGGAAGTAGTGGCACTGTTTTGTTATTGCGATGGCTTGGTAATATCCACTGTGTTCATCTGAGTGCAGGTTTGAACACAAACAGCAGAGTAAACACAACCACTTCAGAGCTATACTCTTAACACGCAAGATACATTTTTATAGTCTGACCTACCTCTGACGTAAATGGCGTGAGGAAGATCAGCGAATTGCCCCTTTGATATGTAAACAGACATGAACCCATCGAGGCAGAGCAGCGTGTTATTATTACTCATGGTGTAATAGGCTGTTGCTTGAGATTGTTCTGAAGCAGCGTGGGCGTTGCATTTCAAAAGAAGCAGAGGTAAAGAAATAAATGTCACCCAGACAGAAGTTGAAGTGTAAGTCTCCATCTTTGTTCGCTGAGACTCGGCAGGCGGAGCAGGTGGTTCACATCTGGTGTAATTGACACGAGTCCCACCAGAGTGAGAGCAGCTCAAAGTGTAATGTCGCTCAGAAGAGTGCACGACCCCACCGAGGCCAACCGGCCATTTAAATTCAAGCAGGCTGCACCAAATTGCACACACTCACAAATATCAGTTTTTTTTTTCATTGCAAACTTTTAATTGGAAAACTGTAAAAAATTCTGGGATCAGCACCGTGTTCTGGATCCCCAACAATATTTCATGGGTTCTTCTGTGACCCATACCACTTCCTTCCTCCAAGTTTCACTGTAATCCGTATTGTGTAATAAGATAAGATAGGATAAGATAATGATAAGACACCATGTAAAGGTATAAAATAGAATAAAAAGGCAATGAAATACAAGATAAGAAATACAATTAAAATGCAGGTGAAAATATAATTTGAAGAAAGATGTATTGCAGGAGGATGTAAGCTGCAAAATGTTTGTGTTTTGTTGAAACGGATATTGCCAAAAAAAATGCAGCAAACTGACTAAAAACATGAACTTATAAACATACAGGAATCTGTGGCTAAATAGAATTACAGACAATAAAAGGCACACGTTCAAAACAATGGTTCGGGGATTCAACAATTTCTTACTGTGTAAAGTTCCTTCAGAAAATGTTATAGTCACAGGCAGCACTGTTTTTCCATATTAAACTTACCACCAGTATTTTCACTGAAAATGTCCTCAATGCACATCTGTATACCAATTATATTATACATTTTACATTGTTATACTAAATACCATATACCCCTTTTAGTACTACAATATTTCCATCTGTAGCAAAAGGTGTATATGTTATGTACATATTCTATGTATTTTTATTCGATATTTTTATTTATTGCCTACCTTATTCTCCTGTCTACTTCATTGTAACTCTCTGCTGCTGTAACGTGTTAATTTCTCTGATGTGGCATCAACAAAGTCTTAATGTTTGAATTGAATTAAAGCATACTGGCTTAACCTGTGTATAGGCCTGAATGTATTCTTTTATATACATATAACCTTCAATATTGTAAATGCAATCTAATGTGCACATGCTTGTCTTATTCAGCATGTGAACAGTTTTTGTCGGTGTGTGAAGATCTTTATTTGAAGAACTTAACAAGAGAAAAAGCAAACAGGAAATCAGGGACCGTAATCGTAACAGGAAATGCTGATTCTGAAAACATCTTTGCAGCTGGTTGAACTCTCTACAGGTTGAGCTGGTCTGTGCCTCTGTTGTATATCGGGTTGGTGTATTCTTGATCTGTGCGGGGAAACAATGGACAAGTGGCAGAGACTTTAAGTGCACAGAATAATTAAATCAGGAACATGTCAATATATGAAGACAGCACTCACTTTCTTTGGCTTTCTTCTTCCTGAAACCTGTTGTAAAATAGAATGAAAACACACATTATCATTTATCATTCTGCTGGATGGTACGAGACACAAATGTCCAAATACCTCTCTCATGATTCGCTGACGCAGCTGACATGGTTTGTTGATTGTTGATTTCATCTTGGTTAACTGTGCAATAAAACAAATTAATGAAATTCCTGATAGCATTGAAATGTTATAGTATGAAGCAAAAATATTACAATTACCATAATAATGTTGAGAGAAATGTGGTTTTCCTGATGTGTCAAAGATTTCTAGGGAGACGAGAGAAAACAGAGTAACTTAATAGATAAGTAGGCAGGTAGGTGGGTAGGTAGACAGCCAGGCAGGTAGGTAGATAATGAGGTAGGTATGTAGGAGGGTAGGTAGGTAGGTAGGTAGGTAGGTACACAGGAAGGTAGGTAGGTATGTAGGAGGGTAGGTAGGTAAGTAGGTAGGTAGGTAAGTATGTAGGTATGTAGGAGGGTAGGTAGGTAAGTAGGTAGGTAGGTAAGTATGTAGGTATGTAGGAGGGTAGGTAGGTAAGTAGGTAGGTTGGTTGATAAGTAAATAGGTAGGCCAGTAGGTAGGTAGTTAGGTAGGTAGGTAGACAGGCAGGCAGGTTGGTAAGTAGGTAGGTAGGGAGGTAGGCAGGTATGCAAGGGAGTAGGTAGGTAAACAGGCAGGTGGTAGTTAGGTACTGGTATGTGGGAGGGTAGGTATGTAGGTAGTAATGCAGGTAAGGAGATGGGTAGATAGGCAGGTAGGCAGGCAGGTAGGTATAAGCACCTCTTTGGAATCTACGTATAGTCCTCTGACGCTCCATCTTCTGAGCTGGCTGAGCTGTGTTTAAGTAAGACATTGCCACAGGACCACAATGCTTTGTGGAGGGTTCCCCCTGCTGGATGGCTAAGTTCTGGTCATCGTTCTCTAATATTTGAAGAAGATCAGTTAAGAAATATTGACATTAGTGATGTGTTAGGAGTGACATTAGCTTTTTTAAAAGGTGAATCAATATGTGGATAAAGAGCTGTGTGAACGCACCGTAAACTGTGTTTTCTGCGTCTGCTTCTGGAAAAAGAAAAAGAAACCCATTGTGGATAGAGATCACACGGATGGGGGTTAGTTGATTAGTTGATTTAAATAACGAAACACCAGTCAACTGCTGTTGAGAGGATTTAGGGCAGTATGAGCCTGGCTCTGGGTATTCCCTTTAGCCCACACCACTGCTTGTAGGCTTCACAGTGTCTGTTTTGTTTTTTATACAAGGAAGGAATGAGGCCACACTGCCTTATGCCTTTTTCCACTAATACATTACACATTATGCAATGAAGACGTAGTTAGCTGATAGACAAAGCATGTGTAGACAAACATTACCCTATGTGAATACTTTTAATTAATTGTCTGTTTACTTTTCAAATAACCCTGAGTTTCATACCCCCTCCCCTCGCCCACCCCCCCTAATGTAGCCCTACATGGCCTCCCTGGAAACCAACAGATGGAAAATCAAAGCAGCGGCTAAAAACTGTAATCCCTGAATTATGATTGTTGATTGAATGAGATTGTGTGTGTTTGTGTGTGTGTGTTTGTGTGTGTGTGTGTGTGTAGCTGCAGATTACCTCTGCTCTCTTTATGTTGTGGCTTTCGGCCCATTGGTGGAGGTGGGTCACTCCACTGAGTTTATGGAGATTATATATTAATAACTCTCTTATATGTGTTGCAACCAAGGAATTTAACCAAGGAGATACTAAGTTAGGTCAAGCAGAGGATGAACTTATCTTTTGCATTTTTTAACTGTTTCTCTTGGTCGACCCTCATATATTTTTTATTTCTACTGTTACTCATAAGGAGGGATACGAGGTCAGTCTGCTTTCCTGCAGTGTTGTAAAAAATGTCTTGAATAGAGAACAATGGAGTCATTATCTACTCACCACTATTCCAATGGAGGAGTCGGTGAAGTGTTTGAGTCACAAAACATTTTTGGAGTCTCAGGGGTAAACAGTGTTGCTGTAAAGGTGACCTCTTCTTCAGATGTAATAAAACAACAGAAACAAACATAAAATGCTTCCATACTGCTAGTGTGGTGTCATCCAAGTGTACGCAAGCCCTCACAATCATTTCGGTGATACGCCTGGTCTAGGGGAAACCTGAGCATAACATAAAGTTTGGCTCCCCTCTTTCCCCACTCCCAAGAATAACCAGTGCCACAGCAGATTGCAGTCAAAACAAATGATTTATTTTATAACTCAGGTAAAATAGGCATCAGGGAGAGCACAGCTAAAACAACAAATAAAACAATCCATAATATCATCTAACTAACCTATTTGACCAAAAGTAAGGCAAATAAAATACAGGGATCTTACCTGCCTCCCTAACATAAACAGGAGAAAATATATTAAAAAAAGGGCTTCTCACCCCTACATTTACCAGGGACTGCTCTTTAGAATATTTAGTCACAGGCTTTCAAAACAGAAGATACATGGCGATCACTGGTCAGCACATATCGGACTGTTACATCGAAGTCAGCACGGTTGTGTTGGGAGTCACAAAAAAGGCAAACCGGCAGGTGAGCTTTTTAAAGTGAGCTCAATGAGTCTTCACTCCAATCACCTGCCAACCTGAAACTCACAGGCAAAACAGAAAACAGAGGGAACAGCACCACCCTTAGGCAGGGAGGGAGAACAACAGCATACACACATTTTGACTCATAGGTCGAATATGAATGTCGGGGCATCAGGACACTTGGATGACACCACAGGAGCAGTATGGAAGCATGTTATGTTTTTTTTCTGTTGTTTTTATATGTCTGAAGAAGTGGTCAGTATTTACTTCAATTGTATTGAATTTGGCTGCAACTCTGTTTTCCCCTGAGACTCCTGAAGTGTTTTGTTGACTCAAACACTTCACCCCCCTCCATCAGCATAGCAGCAAGTGGATAATGAGTGAATTTTAATTTTTCTGTGAACCATCCCTTTAAGGGTGCAACACATGCAGAAGCCATGGAGACAAAGGTAGACATGTTAATGAAAATTCACATTGTTTTTAATGTTATTGTTGTTGCTGTTTGGAATATGTTACTTTCTTTACCTCCACCAAGGAGGTTTTGTTTTTGTCTGTTTCCTTGAAAGTTTGTGGCAACTCTTTAACAAAATCAATATAAATATGTATGAAAGACACAAAACAAGTTAACAATATACTACAGTATAAACATTACTATAATGTTAAAATGTATATGCACCAAGTATTCAGAGGATGGAACTAATTAAAATGGTCAATAATTCAATTATTGCTCACCCTCTATTTCCTCGTTTACAAGATAGATGGCATTGCTCTGTGTCCTCTTTTTGTGGAGAACTGAAAAAAAAACAGTTGTTTTAAATAACCAGTAACCATCAAACCAATACATCTGTTTATCAGTCACATGTATCACACATCTTTATCTGCAGAGGAATGAGAGTGAGACTGGACAGGTACTCACAGTAAATGCTGACAACCAACAGGAAGAACGTTACCACACCAACACAGATGTAGATCAGAGGCAATGTCTCTTTACTCGATGTGTCTGCCGGAAGAAGTTGTGGTTTTACAAAGATACAAATCATAGGAAACTGTTGCTCATGTCCGTGCTCAAGTGTGTGGCCTACAGGGTTTATGACAGTGGAAAAAAAAAAAGTATCTCGCTCACAGAGCTGCCACTCGGCCTTGAGATAACACTAAATTAAAACCTTTCGGGAAAGACCCACATACCTGTTGTGGCACGCAAGTCCACCTGATGACACTTATCTCCCTGCATGCAGCAGTAAAACCCCAGGTCAGAGTCCTGAAGTTCATCGATCCTGATGGAGTAGTTCCCCCTTGAGACCTGGTTTGGAAACACTTTCACGCGGCCTTCTTTGGGGAGCAGGAACTGTACGTGACCATCAGACGTGAGTGTGAGCAGGTCTGCCCCGTCAGCGTGGGCCCATGACACCCTCTCGAGGCCGCTGGTTGTAAAGTTGCATGGAAGGAGCACAGACGAGCCAAATGGGGTGCCCACTGTGTGCATCTCACACAGATCTGAATACTGCCCACACGATTCCTCAAAGTGCTGCTCATCTTGATGGGAAGAAAGTAACACAAGAATTATTTTCTGGTTTAGATTAACTTCAAGTGTATCAACAATAGCAATGATTCCTCCTTGTTTAATTGCTGTGACATCTTAGAATTAACCAGCGGGATTGAGAACAAATGTCATGTCAGTAGATAACGATTACAGAGGCCATTTAAGCAGAGTGAGAAAATGGTAATAAAAGCTACAATTTTAACTAATATTGTATTACTGAATGTATATTAAATAAAAAAACTATTATTTAAAAGTGTGAAAATTGGCATATATACAACATTAATTCAATTCAATTCAATTTTATTTGTATAGCGCCAAATCTTAATATACTTTATCTCAAGGCACTTTACATAGAAGGTCAAGACCTTAAAATTGTATTAAATATAGAGAAACCCAACAGTTTCCACAATGATCAAGCAACTGTGGAGAGGAAAAACTTCCTCACTAAACATATCTAAGTATAATAGTCAATGATACTGTTGTTATCAAAAGACTTTTGTAAATCTAAATATCCAACCATCAATTTAAAGAAAACTAGGATAAAGAAAAGAAAGATGAAAAAATAAATCGACTGAAATTTTTTACCAGTGGACAATGATATTAGCCAAGAATTCTTACAGTTTTGATAATAACCACTATCCCTTATCAAAAACGTTTAATTTATTCAAATCTTAATCTGAATGTCTCATTCTTACCATTTGAAGATGCACTCATGAAGCACAGGGCTAAAGGGAAAATCCACTTGTCGGCATACATTGCTGGAACCTATGTGAACATCAGTGAGAAAGTATCATAAGTTAACCTCTCTAAGCATCATGGGACAAAACCACAAGACGACCACTGTTCATTTGTTAACACCTGCAGCGGAAATTTTTCTGTTGCACATTCACTTTCACATTAACAGCAGCCAAATGTTTGATTTAGCTGTTGTTCTTAACTGTGTGGTGATCATGAACTCATATCAATAAATATAATGATGAACGATTTTAGACGGCAGGTTTCTGCAGGAAGTGGTCTGGATGAAGGATGTATGAGTTGTGTCTATTAAAAACTGCCTTGACTTTGACAGTAGTGACTTTCTTTATTTAATTTTGCAGTAAACTTGAAATTAAAGTGAATTCCATGTTTTCGTTTTTTAAGGGTTTAGCCATGGCTCTGTGCAAGTGTCTGTCTACCACTTTGGTCCAGATTGAAATGTCAACAACTATTGAACGGGCCTCCATGACATTTTGTGCAGACATCCTAGATTTTATATAAAGATGGACATGGTGTCTCCACTTCCTCCTGCTATCCATGAATTTAACCCAAATATCCCACATACAAACACTGCCATGTTGCACCAATGATGACATTTGCAGCCTTAGTCTGTGCAGTAGCAATCAGGGGATGGAGCCACAGTATCGAGGTCCCATGTATACATGCAATGGGTTTAACAAATTGCGAGTCAGTCTCAGCTGTCACCCGTGACGTTTCACCCCGTTTTTTTAACTAACTAAACCAAACTAATCAGAAACATGAACACTCTAATCAAGTAATAGAAGAACTTCATTGAATTATCTTTAAAAAAACATATCAGTTAGCTCAGTGCATTAAACCACTGGCTGAGGGTACAAACCCAGAGGGTTACTTTGGTCACTAGGGGGCAATCAAGATGCTTTGGCTTCGTTTTTGGGGAGCCGTCATGTCGTCCATCTTTATACACAGTCTAAATCTAAATTATATGTTAATAACCACACAACCATTCGGTGGAATTCTTATTTGGTACAAGCTCAAAAAAAGAGAAAAGAAAACATAAGACATGGACATAGACAGAGGTGATATAACACAATGACACTGGACAATATATGGACAGGACAATATCACTTACAGTAGTGTAGCAGTGTAAAGTGTTGTTGGGCTGTTTGTGTTATTGTGATTGACCTGATGGGGGGTGGGTGAACAGTGATCTATGGTGGAGAGTAGAAGATAATGCATGACATTGATGAATTTTACTGAAATATCTTCACAAGTATTCTAGTGGATGGATTGAGTTTGACACTTTCCCAGCTTTCCACTGGGATGTCTCATTTGGTCTCCACCCCCAAGGAGGACCACCAATCCCGCACAGGTCCCGACCTGATGAGGGCGGATCAGTGACGCCTGCAGGTGGCCGGTGGTCCCCCAGCCCCCCTGTCCCCTGACAGCCTGCTGCCCGCTCCCTGCTGCAGGATGGCCGGAGGTTTCCTACAAACACGTCTCCTCTCCCTCTTCGACTACAAGACGGAAAAATACATCGTCTCCAAAAATAAGAGAGTTGGAGTTCTGTACAGACTCATTCAGCTATCGACCATCGGTTACATCATTGGGTAAGTCATGGATTGTGTTTTCTTTTACCACGATGCACCACCTCCTAACATATGGTTAAACTGGTTTAACACAGAACCAAAGATGAGATGAGGTGAGAGGAACATGATAAGAAGCAAAGAAATGAGTGTGCCAGCGTACAGAGAGTAAACCTGGAGCATTAAGTCTAAAAATGAAAATGAAATGAAAGAATGAAGTGTATTTATTATATGTGATGATGAAAATAAACTTCACTGTGGTTTAGTGATTTACTTCTTTTTCTACATTCGAGAAATTCAAACTTAACTTAACAACAACTGAAAAGGTTTATATAGACTCTAAACGCTGTGTTCAAACCAGCCGCCTGTTATTTTTTCAAGTGAGATAAATGTAATGGTGACTGATTCATAAATTGCATCTTCATAAGTTAGTGTACCCATTCGTACTTTGAGGGGCAACCTGTCACTTTTAGTCTTATATCTGTGCTTTATAAGCTAATTTAGATGACTAATACGAAATATATTTGTTTTGAGCTCTGAATAAAAAATCTACTGCAGGACATTGTAAGTAAACTGTGCTTATATAGGCTTTGCAGAACTGAAGTCACAAAGCAACAGGCGTGCACCATAGACCACTATAACGAAAAACAAATAAAAAGTAAATACATTGAACTCATATTGTACATTGTTATAACAGTACTAGATCCAACAGTATCATATCAATACTTTTTTTTATTTCTTGTGAGAATTCATATGACTGTATTCATACCACAAACAACTCGTCTTTGTGAGTGTCATGTTTGTACATTTTACATTTTAGAATAAAAAACAAGCTTTTAAATTTTAATCTTTAAGCAGATAATTTTAAATTTTAAATTTTGGATTTCAACCACTGCTGGTCGCAAGGGTCGAGACCTGTTCATGCTGAGAGCTGCTCTCACCCACAGGTGGGTTTTTGTAAGCAAGAAAGGCTACCAGGAAACAGACGAGGCCGTACAGAGCTCCATCATAACCAAACTGAAGGGAGTGTCAGTGACTAACACCTCCGAGTCTGGGCTGCTGGTCTGGGGCCCGGAGGACTATGTCATCCCACCTCAGGTAAACATGTTTAGACCACAGTACCAGTGTATAACTATGCATATACACATACATATTTAATGTTTTCATGTTTTAAAAGGTAGTGCAAACACAGGGTGCATGCTGCTGGTCGCAATCCAGTTTTTCTGGTTTGCCAAGGATTTAGCGTGTGTTTAGCTTTGCATGTGTGCTTAAATTCATGGATGTATATGAGGTAAGAGAACTGCAGTGATATTATGCAGGCTGACAAGACAATAACAAACATCTGAGTTAAGCGGGCACAGTTTTGGATTAAACAATTCTTTGTCGAGCATCAGGGGCGTTGCAACACAACTGGAGCCCAGAACTAATAAAGGGGTCTCAGAGAATGACAGATTATATCAGTCCAGCTACAAATATTTAGTGAGAACCCTCTGTACAGGAGAGTGCAAATAACAAGGCCCCATGCCGCAATCTTCCTGCCAATAGCTTCATGATTTTAGTTTTAGGTTTGGTTGGAGGCTGATTTTGTTAGCTTAGATCAGAGCTGAGTTCAGGCTGTGCTCAGACTAAAACTGTGTGAAAACAGTGCAGCACATCACATTACATTACACAAATCAAGATAAAGAGCCTGAGGCAGCAGAGTGGTCACCATGACATGATGTCTATATTAAGACCACTTCACTGTGTGTGTTTCCTCTACATGTAGGGGGATGCTATTCTGTTCGTTGTAACTAATTTCTTAGAGACACCGAACCAGAAACTGGGACAATGTGCAGAGGTAAGAATATTCTGTCGACTTGATTCAAATGTAAATGAATGATTCTATGTGGTAGAAGACCACTGTGGTACTTTGAGTGACTGTAATAGGAGCTGTCAGTATGGATGACATTTTAAATTGAATTAATTGTTGATTTTAAATACATTATAATAGAATACCAAGTTGTGCAATATGGTGCCCAGACAGCATGCAAATGTGGGTCACTTCAGACAGTAATGCAGCACTTCTGGCCTTAACAATGGATCTTAGCCTAAAGTTGCCCAAATATCCCCAAACTAATGTGGGCCTTTTTCGGCAAACATGCGGGGCCCTCTGCAAGGTATAATCAGGATGTGGCAAATGTTGAATATGGCCAAAATAGCACAAAACAAATTCAGGCCACTTTTTTTTGACATGCGGTTTTGCTATAGCCGACTTGTTGTGGCCCAGATCTGGCAAACAGTAGCAGACCGCCATCATTCAATAAGGTATGTTACATTACATTTCACTTAGCTGATGCTTTTATCCAAAGCAACTCACAATGAGTCCATTCAACCATGAGTGTACAAACCCAGAACAACAAGAATCAAGTAAGTACAATTTGCTTCAAAAAAGCCAAACTATAAAGTGCTACATGTCAGTGCCATATACTGTATATCTCTCTCCATCTCTTCCTCTTCTCCCTCGCTCTCTCTTCTCTCCCCTCTTTTCCACTCACCTCTCCTCTCTCATATTTTTTTCCACTCACCCCAGCCGGTCGAGGCAGATGGCAGCCCACAATGAGTCTGTTACCAAAGTAATTGCTAGTTGTGGGAACTGTTGGGTCTCGACCTTAGTATGTAGCTTAAAGTGCCTTTAGATAAAGTATTTGTTGGGATTAGGCAAATAAAATTGAATTGAAATAGTTGTGACTGTGTGCACAATAAGCAGAGAAATAGGCTGTGAGACTTTGGCTGATCTGCGGATAACATTGGCACAGTCAGAAGAGCACTGGTCTGCATTTTCATCAGTCAGAGTAAAGACTTATACTCATAACAAAGTCAGACACCTCCTTCTACTCTCAGTGAATGTGTGTGTCTAAGTCATTCTTTGCATCATTTCTCTCAGCTCTGTCTTCAGTGACACATTTACAGAGACTCCCTGGAATGTAAACTCAGCCTCTCTTGCTCTCCTGTCTCACTGCCCAGAAGAGTCACCTATATAAGCAGTGGAGCCATAAATCCCTGCTCTTGTATATGTTTTAGATCTTACCACTTCCCATTCACAGCTGCTCTTTTCTAACCACTCACTACATTTTAACTTTCATATTAATGTTGCGGCTAGAAAATAAAAAGCTTTTTATTTGAAAGTCCTCCACACAACTACGAAGACTGTTTCAAACAACTATTGGCTTGTAAAATAGGACCTGGGTCCAAAAGTGAAGCCAATGTGGAAGTGCCTGAAACATGCATTCTTTTGAATAACCAACAGAGGGCAACTCCACTGATTGCAAAAAGTCAGATGCACTTGATTTATACTTTGGTACCTTGGAACTTTTTCTGTGCACTGTGCAATCAGGGGATTGAAATGACTGTCAGCTTGTTGCTGGATGTGATGTGAAATCAGGAGCTCAGACGATCATGTGAGGAATCACATCAGTACAATCACTTCCTTATTCAAGCTTTTTATAAAAAAAATGTTTCCAAGATGGTTCATTCGTGATTTTTATTTTTTCTGTGGCGTTTGTTCCCAGAGTTCTAAAGTGCTGGATGGCCACTGTCGATACGACAAGGACTGTGAAGAGGGGAAGATGGTAGTGGCTGGTAATGGTGAGTAAAACATTTTTATTCATCCTACTGTATTTTTTAAGTCAGTGTTAGTCTGTCTATGTCTGAATGTAACTTCACTGAATTTGTAAATATAGTCAGGATTCCCGTTTAAACCAGTTTGCAGCAGGAACTGTGATGCTGTGCCTTTTCATATGTGATGAGGTCGACAACGTCACAATGTTTTGTTCTGCTGTTTTTTTCTGAAGGTATTATGAGTGGCCGGTGCCTTAGAGAAGATGTAAACTCCACTGGAACCTGTGAAATCTACGGCTGGTGTCCCATCGAAAGAAAACTTAATTCACAGTAAGAAGCAGCACAATCACAACTTGTGAAACTCAGTTTAAGACACAAAACAACATTACAAAAAGTCAACATAATAGTAAATGCTGCCATCTTGCAGTGATGATTATTTGCGTCACTCCCTCCAATACACACACTCAACCAGTTGCGAGTCAGTCTCTTAGTTGTTAGGGTTAGAGAGTGATAGAACTCCAAAAATGACAGACACCATCTTGAAATGTATTTAATGTGTATTTTGACTTTTTAGTTTGGTCCATGTCCAATCAACTGACTTGGAGGAGACATGGTGTTATGACCTGTACTTCAGTCAGCCAACACTATATATACAGTCTATGATATCAACTACTTATCAAACGTTTTACTGTGAGAAACCTTTCATGGATAATTCCCTGACCTGCAACAGCACATTTTCTTTGCAATGTACAGAATATGTGTCTTTTTATTCAGTCCATTGTTGTCACTTGTTTAAACAGAAGGCCTCTGCTGAAAAACGCCGAAAACTTCACCATCTACATCAAGAATTTCATCCAGTTTCCAAAATTCAAGTTTTCAAAGTAAGTCCTCTTCTTCTGTGCTCAACCTTCACTGTAACATCCAGACTACTTTCTCACTGCACACTCATAGTAACACTCTGCAATGCTGTGTGTGTGTGTGTGTGTGTGTTTCTCAACTCTAAGGTCCAATGTTCTTGAAACAACTGATGACTCCTATTTGAAGAAATGCAGATATGACGAGGAGCTCCACCCGTACTGCCCCATCTTCCGTCTGGGAGACATCACCCAGCGAGCCGGATACAAGTTCAATGACATGGCCACATATGTTAGTATTTTGACTGCGTATCGTCAAGAGTTGGTCATTTTTACAAAACTTAAACTTCACCTTCAGCAATTTAATTCAAAAGCCCAACAAGTCAAGTGTAGCCAGGATCAGATCTAAGGTACAAATTACATTTATCAGCTTCTTTTTCCGATGGATATTTCCCAAGAATTATTTGGAATTATATGTTGCATGTTTACATCACACCTCTTGAAAAGGAGGGGGAGAAAATGTTATGTACAATACATTTTTATATATTATCATTAATGAATCAAATCAGTACATCATCTCTCGCATCAAGACTCTAGGGACTTTGATAAAACAGTCTTAGAATTTGGTCCAAGTTAAAT